ACATACTTTGTACAATAAAACATTAGTTTCATGTGAGAAGTTCAAATATAAAATAAGGACAATTTCACGTATAGTAAAATTAGTGCAAATAAAAAAATGTAGTGAGCCATCTGTTGTTGATATTTTTTAAAACAGAAATTAAAATTAAAATAATAGAGGTCTTTGATGTTGTAACAAAGATATATTTTCCAAATTTTAAAAACCCACAAGAAGGTCAAAATGAAATAACAGAATAGTTCATTTTTTAATAAGAAAACAAAATTTCCTCATTTCTAAAAATATCTAGTAGTCAAATTTAAATGACACAGCCGCCCAATGTTATTACAAAACTATGATTTCCCTCATTATCGATGAATAAACCAAGAAGTTCAAATTTAAGACATAGAGCAGTTCTAAAAATACAGAGAAATTGGATTTTCCGTATTTCTAAAAAAACTAGAAGTTCAAATTATAATAACAGGAAGTTTAATGTTTATTAGAAAATCAAGATAGTGAAATTAAAATATAGTGCAGTTCAAAATTTTTAAACCAAATTTTGCTATTTCTAAAAGAACCTAGAAGTTCAGATTTACATAATGGGGTTGTTCAATGTTTATTACGAAACAATTTTTTTTGTTACTATAGGTAATAAAATAGAGAAGTTCAAATTAAGAAAATTGAGCAATTTGGTGTTTATAAATAACTCAAATTCTATTTAATGAAACAAAGTGTGAAGTTCATTTTTTTAAATAATTCGATGCTTATATGAAAATCATGTTTTTTGTTTCTAAGAATAAAACTAAGAAGTTCAAATTAATAAAATAGAGAAGTTCAAAGTTTAAAGAAAACTCTGATTTTTTTGTTACTAAAGAATAAAATGGAGAAGTTCAAATAAAATAATTGAATAGTTCAAAACAACATTAAAAAATGATTTCCCCCATTTAAAAAACTAGAAGTTCACACTGAAATAGCGAAGCGGTTCAATGTTTATTAAAAATACGTGATAGAAGTTTAAAGTGAAAATAGCGAGAAGTTCAACTACTACACGGAATGCGTTTCAGATGAGAATAAAATGAATAAAATTCTAAAAGCCTAAAATGTTTGTTGCAAGAAGTTCACATGCTCCTCCCGCCATGGTTCAAAATTTATATTGCAGGACATCCGACCTTCCATTACATGTCAAAAAAGGCAAAAACGGCGTTGTTTTTGACATTTTTAAAACTGTTGTCAAACGGCACTGAATTTGTGACAACTATCTACATGAAAAAGTTGCTCTTATTCATAAGCTTTCGAAAGGTATATTATATGCTAAATTCTGATGTACGATTTAAAAGTTCATGTATATCAATTAAATTATGTTTTTATGTATTCAAAAAATTATTTTGAACCGTCCTGAGTATGAAAAAATGATCAACATGGGAAAGTTGTGTGTTTTCAACAGCTTTCCATCGATATATCACTTGCTCTTGGTATGTGGTTGGGGAGTTACGGGCAAAAAACAACACGTGAAAAATATAGTGAAGTTCAAACAGAACTGCTCGAGAAGTTCAACCACTACATGTAGTGTATTTCTGGAGACTCTATTTTCGTGATGAAGACATAACACATGATCTCGCAATTTTCAAAATTACATAAAAACGGTCGGGAATCAGAGAAAAGTTTCTACACGAAAAAGTTTCATTTTATATAGCTATCCAGGGGTATATAGTTTGCCCCATTCCGAGTAAGTTTGCACAAATTACAGCCAAAATATGATTTTAGCCATTTTCAAATTAGACGTAAAACCGTAGGGAATTGGGAGAAACATTATATACATAAAGTTTTGCATTTGTCCGTGATTTCCAATGCCATATCATTTGCTGCTTTCCAACAAACTGTTAAAAAATTAACTCGAAAATACGAATTTAGTGAAACTTTGACCGTTTTCTAAATTATTCTTAAACCCTTCAGAATTAAAAAAAGTTTTCTACATGAAAAGAAGCGCATTTTCATAAGCTTTCCAACGCCATATTATTTTCCTAAATCTGATTTGCCCTTTTGAAATGACCTCGAAAATACGAACTCGGTTGTTCGATTTGTGAAATTTCATGATTTTTCAAATTACTCTTTAACCATAAGGAATTAGGGAAAACTATTTACACGTGGAATGAGCCGATTTGCAGCAACTTTGCAACGTCATATTATTTGCCTCATTCCGATAAATGGTATAGAAATGGGCTCAAAAATACGATTTACGTTTTTTGTATGAAGAAAAGGCAATTTTTAAAACTTCTCTTCAACCATGTTGATTTTGCTAAAAATTTAACTTAGACCATGATACTCGTGTCGGGCAATATTTGCGGAAGTTCAACCTAGCATTGGATGAAGTTTAACTACTACTGCTGGGACCGGTCGGGTAGTTCTTAGAATATTATTCTCATCCGTGTTCAAAATAGTGTTTATCTATGTATATATACAACCCTCACAAAAAAATTAAATGAGATGGTGGTGGAAGACCATCACAGCTAGGCCTAGTATTTTCTGGTGACGCCTATGTGCGGCAAACAAGGAAGCTTGGTGTACTCATCTCCAATGGGCCAGACCCATTTTGTGTTTCTTATATGGCTTTCAGCTTCTTTATTTCTTCTCTTCCTTTTGGGTTTTCTGTTTTGTTTCCTATTTGCAAAAATTTCCTTCTCCACAATTTTGGAGTGGAAATATGTAAATTTTTTTAAAAACTACATCAAAATATATTTTAATTTATTTCCTACATAGTGAACATTCTTTTGAATATATGAATGTTTTACTTTTTAGGTACATGAATTTTTTGTATTTATCATATACAAAAATTTCTCCATTTTTTAATTCTTCGGCACCATTTTAAAAGTTATTAATAAAAAAGATCTTATAAGTTTTACTAAAAAAATAACAATATGCGTTAACATGCCACACAATAGGGGCCCACTAGTGCTCCGAAGGGCGCAACCCACAGGGACTCTGGTGCAATGGTGCTTGTGGTGCTACTGGTGCATCGAACTCACCTTGCATATTTTAAAATGTTTACAAGTTTGTAAAAGTTAACACATTCATGCATCAATGTAGGTTGTCATAAACTTTCAAGTCAAACTTCAAAACATAGCTCGAAAAAATGTCAAATTCAAGACTGAATATTATATATCATAAGTTGGGCTTTAGATTTGGCCCATTGTCACATCGATGTAAAAAATTTCATTTTTGTATTTCAAAAAATGTTTCAATTTTTGATACAAAATTACATAAGTGTTGTGTAAACGTGCTAGATTTTTCTTCTTCACATTTTTTTAAAGTGTCCTGTGGCATCCCGTGCATCGATAGCATCACAAGTGTGGGTCACCAAATACATTCATATCGCCAAAAAATAGAAAGCCTTGCACTTGATAACAATTGAAATCCCTATTTGACACATTTTGCATCAAATAGTTGATCAATCGCACACACGACGCGACCGAGCGAGTGATTGGGTCGGCTCATCCGTAGTAGGTATCACGTTTCGGTTTTGGGAATCTTCTAGAGGGTTCCTAGCGGGTTTTATAGGTTTTGGGAACCTTCTAAAAGGTTCCCGGACCATTTTTTTTGTTTTCTATATTCTTTTCTTTTTTCCTTTTTCTTTTTCCCGGTTTCTGTTTCTGTTTCTTGTTCATTTTTATTTCCACCTTTTCTTGTTTTCTATTTCCTTTTACTTTTTCATGTTTCTTTTGTTTGAAAATTTCAAATAATGTTTGGAATTTCAAGAAATGTTCTAGTTTTCAAAATTTATTCGCAGTTTTAAAAAATGTTGGTGTTTCAAAAATTGCTCTGGTTTTCAGAAAAGCATTCACGTATTCAAAATATGTCACATTTCCAAAGTTGTTCTCTGTTTTAAATTTTGTTCTTAAAATTAAAAAATTGTCCGTTCTTTCAAAAATTGTTTCTGTCAAAAATTTGTTCTACTTTACAAATTTTGTTCCCAAATTCAATATTTGTTTTGGTTCCAGAAAACGTTCGAACTTTATTAAAAAATTCAAAGGTTCAAAATTTGTTCGCGTTTTGTAAAAATTATTGAAGTTTCAGAAAATGTTCTAGTTATCAAAATTTTGTTCACGTATTCGAACAATGTTCGCAATTTCACTTTGTTTGGGATTTTCAAAATTAGTTCTTAAAATTCAAAAATTGTTCATGGTTTTCAAAATTTGTTTATGTAAAAAAACGCATTTTCTTCACAAATTAAAAAATGTTTATGTTTTCGAAAAAAGTGTGAAACTTAAATAAAAAATCACGATTTCAGGTAATTTCAAAAATTGTTCGTAAGTTTAAAAAACTGCTCGTCATTTTTTTCGAGAGGTGTTAAGTTTGTTATTTTCATACTTCTTTAAGTATCTCGTTGCATATCTACCACAAGAGCACTTCGGTCGTACTGTCAGCACACCATCGCAGGTTCAATTCCCAATGACTGCAAAACCTTTTTTCGGGTCTTTACCTCGCCCCTGTGCGATTAGCCGACTACTTCAGTTTCCCTATCTCTCGCGAACTGAGATCTGGCCCATAAAGCCCAAACGCACACGGAGGTCAGAACAGGAGGCAGTAGCCAAGTCCAGAGTCCCTGTGGGCTGCGCCCTTCGGAGTATATACCTGGGCATATGACGGGTCGGTCCGGGCCAAAAAATTCCCAATGCTGAAAACTCAGGCCCGAGCCCGGCCCGGCCCGACCGGCGGGCCCAAGCCCGACACGGCCCGGCTAAAATCCTATTTCCCGCAAGCCCGAGCCCAGCCTGATCTGTCCTTCGGACTCAATTTCCAGGCCTGAGCCCGGCCTGGCCTAATGGCCCGGCCCGGCCCGGTCCAGGATTTTCGGGCCGGGTCGGGCCGGGCTGCCCATGTCAGCACAACAAATCCGCACCGTCCCTTCTTTCTCCCTGTCCCTCTCTCGGCTCGCGTCTCGTGCCTCCGACGCAACGCGCTCTCGTCTTGCTCCCAGAGCCGGAGCCCACCCGAGCCGCGACCTCCCTCTCCTTCCCCGTACACCCATGGGGTCGTCGGAGGCCGACGACGACCAGCTCCTCAAAAGCTTCCGGGCCGAGGTCAGCGAGGCCGAGCGCGACAACGAAGTCGTCAGGTCCCTCTCGGCCCCTCCCCCCCTCAAAAATTGTTCGTAAGTTTAAAAAACTGCTCGTCATTTTTTTCGAGAGGTGTTAAGTTTGATATTTTCATACTTCTTTAAGTATCTCGTTGCATATCTACCACAAGAGCACTTCGGTCGTACTGTCAGCACACCGTCGCAGGTTCAATTCCCAATGACTGCAAAACCTTTTTTCGGGTCTTTACCTCGCCCCTGTGCGATTAGCCGACTACTTCAGTTTCCCTATCTCTCACGAACTGAGATCTGGCCCATAAAGCCCAAACACACACGGAGGTCAGAACAGGAGGCAGTAGCCAAGTCCAGAGTCCCTGTGGGCTGCGCCCTTCGGAGTATATACCTGGGCATATGACGGGTCGGTCCGGGCCAAAAAATTCCCAGTGCTGAAAACTCAGGCCCGAGCCCGGCCCGGCCCGACCGGCGGGCCCAAGCCCGACACGGCCCGGCTAAAATCCTATTTCCGGCAAGCCCGAGCCCAGCCTGATCTGTCCGTCGGACTCAATTTCCAGGCCTGAGCCCGGCCTGGCCTAATGGCCCAGCCCGGCCCGGTCCAGGATTTTCGGGCCGGGTCGGGCCGGGCTGCCCAGCACAACAAATCCGCACCGTCCCTTCTCTCTGCTCGCGTCTCGTGCCTCCGACGCAACGCGCTCTCGTCTTGCTCCCAGAGCCGGAGCCCACCCGAGCCGCGACCTCCCTCTCCTTCCCCGTACACCCATGGGGTCGTCGGAGGCCGACGACGACCAGCTCCT